AGGTAATAGGGATATTTATAACTATATTATTTAATAAAACTAAAAACTTCTTAGTTTCTCGAGTTTTTAAATTAGATAGTTATAAATACCTAATTTCCTATATATAAATATATGCGGCTACTAAAAGAGCTATAATACTAGCCCTTCTATCTAAATTTCTTCTAGATATTATATAGGTAGCTTAGAGAAATAATTCTCGATATTAGAATATTATAAAATAAAGGCTTAGTAAGAAAGATATTAAGGAAAAAGAAATCTAGAAAAATAATTTGGGCTTATTTAGGTACTATTTAAGAATTATTATATCTAATAATCCCGCTTTATATTAAGAAGTTATAAAGCTTTATTATAATAACCTAATAGCCAAATACTATAAAATAAAGAAAACTCTTGAGCTTTTTAGAAGATTCTAGTATTAGGAAAATATAAAAGAAAATATTTATAATTATTATTAAGAATATAATATTTACTAGAGAATTAAAGTAAAAAGGCATTTGCTATATAGTTTACTTAGTAATTTACTATAGCCTAAGAGACCCTAAAATAAGATTTCTATAAATTTTATTATAGATCTATTACTATATAAGAACCTAATAGGAAATCCCGATTTTAATATAATTCTTATAATTATTAACTAGTACTTTAAAATAGTAAGATATATTATATATTATAAAACTATTAATTTTCTAGAGCTTACTAAGATTATATAAGAATATATTTTCTTGATTTTTGACTTCCCTAATAGAATTATTTCTAATTAAGAAATAGTATTTACTAGCTAGTTCTAGTCTATTTTCTATTTCTATTTAATATATAAATAGTATTTAAGTATAGCTTATTATTCTCAGATAAATAATTAGATAGAAAGATAAAACTAGACCCTAAAATACTATCTAAGATATTATTATAATACCTAAAAAAATAACTAGTTTAAGAAATTATCTTTTATAAAATTTATATATAATAACTTAAAATATTAGATTTTATGAAATATATCTTTTTATATATATTATAAATATTATTCTTAATTTCTATAAAATCCTAAAAATAGAATTATAGAAAAGATACTAACTATATATAAGAGGCTAGAAATCTTTAAAGTAAAATAGAGAAAGTTTAAGAATTTATAATATTATATATAAAATAACTAGAAAACTTATTATAATAGGTACTAGTTAGCTAAATACTACTTTAAAGAAGCCTGAGTAATATTATTAATAAGAAATATTAAACTTAAAATAAGAAAGCTTAAGCTAAAATTTATAAATCTATTTAAAATCCTTAAATATATTAGTAATTTAGTATATAAGTTAGAATTACTAAATATATATAATTATTTATATCTAACTTTTTATATTTTCTTTCTTAAAAAATATATAATAAAAAAGAATTAAAAGCTATATCTATATTTTTCTAAAGAACTTCCAGAATTAGTAAATAATAATAAAGAATAAGAATAGGAAATAGAAGTTATTATTAATTATTAATAAGATAATAAAAGTAAGAAGTAATAGTATTTAATTAAATAAAAAGCCTAGTCTAAAAATTATAATACCTAGTTATTTACTTTTCCTAATCTTAAAAATTCTAAGAAACTTCTAAAATTATATAATTAAAACTATAGTTTGAAATCCAAAACTATTTTTTAATAATCTCTTAAGATTAAAAAGAATTCTGGATTATTAAGAAAAAGGCTACTTAAAAGAAAAAAAGAATCTAAATAGCTAAGAAAAGATCCGGAATAATAATAAAGATATTCTTTCTCTAAGTTTTTTATTTATAAAGGTTTTCCAGGATTTTATTAAGGCTTATAAGAATTATATTTAAATTATTAGAAAAAGATTTAGAATTAAGAAAGATTTATTATAAATAAACTAGTTATAGGTATCTTAAATAAATAAATTCTAATTCCTATAAATTCCTAATTTCTAAAATAAAAATACTAAATACCGGCCCTATTTAGAACTTAGTAAAGAATTAGCTAATACTTTCCGGAATTCGCTTATTTCTTAATAAAATATAATTATACTATAATAATATTAGTATTAAGAATATTAAGAAAAGTAAATAAGAAACTTATAATAGCTATATATATCTTATAAAAGGCCCGAACTTCTAAAATCAGGTCTCAAATAATTATAAGTATTATATTATTAGTACTTAAAGTACTACTAATAAATTACTTAGTAATCTCGGTAATAAACTTAATAATAAGATTAATACTTTAAAGATAGATATTATAGTATTTCTTTAAGAAATTAGTAAGTATCTAAATATATTAGAAAAAACTTACTTTTAGGATACTAACCCAAGTAGTATTATTATCTATTTTATTAAGATAGGAAAAAGAATTCCGAAGCTTATTAATATTTTTCTAGTCTTTAAAAACCTAATTAATAATATTATTCTTATTAGTATAATATTATTTAGGATATACTTTAAGAAATTTCTTAAAGACTATAATAATATCTTTCTAGAACTAGTAAGCCTCTAATAAGTAATAAGAAATCTGAAATTATATTAGCTTTAATAAATATTAAAGCTAAAGAACTTATTAATATATAAGATTTAGAACCCTTATTATAATAGTTATAATTCTTTTTACTAGGTACTATAATATATAAGATAAAGAGATTAATAAGCAAATACTTAAAATATTTCAAGTATTTACTAGTAATAGGAAAAAAGACTATAAAATTACTTTTATATTTATTATTATATAGGTAAATAATAAAGCTAGAAAAAGATATTATGGAATTAATTAAAAATAATTAAAAAAGGCTTAGAGAAAAGCAGAAAAAGAGGCTAGAAGATAATAATAGAAAAAATTATATATATAGTTATTAGAAAGAAAGAAAATATATAGTAATATAAAAAGGTTCTTTTATAAAAATAAAGAACTACCTGGATTAATTACTAGTTTTCATACTAGTCCTAATTAGAAACTAGTATAACTAATTAATATATATTTCTAGAAGCCTATAAATAATTTCTAGGACCTCAGAAATATTTATATGAGTTTCTTATATAAATATTTATTAAATTCTTTTCATATAGTTATTTAGATTATTTTAATACAAGATCTAATAGGTAATATTAATTTTATAGGATAATATTTTAGTACTTTGGATTAAGCTAATTAGAATACTCAGATCCTAAATAAAATCGCAATTACTAGCTAATTTCTATACCTGAAATATAATTACTCTTCTTTCTTACTTACTTAGCTCTAATCTAATTAGATAATTTTTATATTTATTATCCAGATTATATTAGTAAAATTATTTCCTAAGATACTAGAAGTTTACCTTAATTAAATAATTAATTAATTAAATATTACTAGGATAGATTAATAGATCTTAGAGATAAGATCCTAGGAAAAAAGTATAGTTATAATATATATAAAGTTATATGTAACTTAAGGGCATATAATAAACCTCGGATATTACAGGTATTAATTAGGGAAATCGGAGGCCCTTTAACTTTATAACTAACTATTATTTATATTATAAGTATTAGACTTATAAATTACTAATTATATATATATTATTAGGGCCTTCTATTTAGAAAGGACTTCCCTAGACCTTATAGAAAAGATAGAGATTAGTTCTATACTAAATTTAATACTATAATTTCATAATTCACTAATTTATTCTATTATCTTATTACCTACTAATAAATACCTCATATAAAAAAAGCTTAAAGAAAGCTTAAAAAAGAAAAGTAAGAAATAAAAAAAATCTAGATATAATATTATAATTATTATAATAATAATATATAAATAAATAAAAAGGAAAGAAAAATATAATATAAATAACTAGAGCTTAAATATAATAAATATAATTATATAAGCCTATATATAATTATTAATATATAGTTATTATATAATAATAATTATAAATTCGAAATTTATTATATATTAGAAAAATTTAAAAAAAAATTATAAAAAGATTAAAAAATTAAATTAATAAATTATATAGTACTAGACTTTAAGTTTAAGCCTTAAGCGAGAATCGCGATTTTAATAGCCAGAAACCTACTCATATAATTATTAACTACTATATTAAAAACTAGCCTATTCTAATACAAAATTAATAAAAATTATTATAAAAGGTATATATATAATCCTACTAACTCAAAATATTAATCTGCCTCCCCTAATACTTCATATACTACTCATCTACTATAATACAGGCCTTAATCCGGGCCAGTATACTCTCTACTAGTTAATTAAAGAAACTATTAGAGAGAGCTTCCCAGGCTTCCTTTAATACCTCCTCTAGCTTCTTCTAATCCTCCTCCGACTTTCCTATAATAGATATTAGATCAGAAAACATCTTTTGTATTATCTTTTTAAGTATCTATTATATATATTTAATCGGGTTAAGGTCGGGGGAATAGGGAGGCTAATTAGTAATATTTATACTATTCTCTTTAAATTATTACTTGACCTTTTTTACTATATAGATCGGGGTATTATCTTATATAAAAATAAGGCCATTATAATAGCTATCTAGGAGCCTATTCTTAAGGACTTTAATATAGGAGTTTGCGGTATACCCAAACTTGGCCGATTTAAAGTTCCGGGATAGAATAAAGAAAGGATATCTTTCCTCTCTATCCCAAAAGAATACCCAAACTATTATATGTATTTGCTTTCTAGCCTTATAAGTTATAACTATCTCGGGCTTCCATTTATCTTCCGGTATATCCTAATACTACTCTTACTTAATTCCACTACCCCGCTCTATAAAATACTTATTACTTTACTAGTATATCCTCTATTACTTAATATTCTAATACCTCCGAACTTTGTACTAGAGAAGCCTTATAGTAGTATATATAGGCTTGAGCTCTAGCCTCTTCTTTATATTCTAGTAATAAAGATTATTTATATATATAAGGTTCTTAATATAGGTATTACTTATTATAAGGCCTATATCCTTATAATACTACTAGAATATTAACTTTAGATAAGAGCAGAGGTTCTTAAATATTATTTAATAATTTCGATTACTATAGAGAAAAGAACGGCCTTTGCGAGATATAGAGAAGCTATTAGTATATAGGGTTTCAAGAGCAAGTATGCTCCTAATAGTACTATATAAGTACTTTATTAATAGCTCGATTTTATGCGGCGATATACCGGTAATACAAGTACCCTTAATCCTTTTTCTTTAGTAAGAAGTAAGCTCAGGGCCTCTACTATATTAATTGCCATTAATATTATATAAAGGCATATATTATAATAGTATAATTAATATTCTAGATAAAAGAATAAATAGACGAGAATGCGAAAAATCGCGGTTTTGTCTATTTTGGCTAAAACTTAGTATATATTACTATATTTTTAGATTTATTATTTAATATAATAATAAAATAAATATAAAGAATTTTTAAAGAAAATTATAAGCTAAAAAGTTTTAAAAAGTATATATAAAATTATTTATAATAGATTTAGTAATATTTTATAAAATATTCTAGCTAATATTAATAATAGAATAAAAATAATAGAAATAGATAAATTTACTATTAATTCCTTTATTATAATTTACTTTTTTACTTTTTATTTATTTATATAATTAATTTCTTTTAAATATTTTCTTGAAATATTTTCTTTAATTAAATTAGATTATTTTCTTTATTATTCGAAATAATAATATTTTTTATAAATTATTTAAAAAGAACTTCTCTAATTTAAAAGCATTTTTATTATATATTATCTAATAAAAATAAAGCTTTATTTTATTATTTATTTTATTAATTAAATTCTTTTTTATTATTATATAATATTATTATAAATAATCTTAAAAAAATATATTCTAAAATATTATTTATTTATTATTTTTAAATTTACTAATTTCAAGAACTAGAAAAAAGTTATTTAATAAATTTAAAAGTTTTATTATTAAATTTAAGAATTTAAAAATATAAAAAAGTTTAATTTATAAGTTTTTAAATAATAAATTAATTAAATAATTCTTATAGAAATCTTAATTATATTTATTATTATATAAAACCTTTTTTATAATATAATATAATAGCTGAAATTCTATATATTTTACTAGTTTTTAAATAAAGCTTATAAAAAAAATTTCTCTATTTTATTTTATTATTTCTATTAAAATTAAAGAATTTTGAATTTAATATAAGAATATTATATAACGAGTTCTTTAATTAGTAATTTTATATATTTATATTTTTTTTTAAATATTTGAAATTTCCTAAATTACTTTTTTTTTAAATTATTTATATATATATATTATTTTATATAAGTTTAAATATTTAAAGATTTTCTTTATTTTTAAACTAGTTTATAGCTATTTAGAAAAAGAATAAATTTTAGTTTTTTTTCTAGTTTTAGAAAACTATAATATTATATAAAAGCTTAGAGCTATTATAAGTAATAATACTAGAATTAATAAAATAATTTAAATATATTAGAAATAAAAGCTTAATATTAAATAAAATAAATAGTAAATATAAATTTATTATATTAGCTATATTATTAATCTTATAATATGAGCTTTTTTATTTTTTAAATTAATTAAAATAAAAGAATTTAAATTATATAAATAATAGAAATAAATTCAAGAAATTAATAATAATAAAAGAAAAAAAATCAAGTTTAGACTTTTAAATTTATTTAATAAAATATATAATATTATAGTTTATATTTATTAATTATTTATTTAATAAAATATATAATATTATAGTTTATATTTATTAATTATTTATTTATATAATTAAATAAATAAAACTTATAAAGAAAATACTTCTAATAAATAATTATATGAAATATAATAGCTAATATAAAATTATTTTTATTTTTATTAAAAAAAAATATATATATATAAATAAATATTATTAGAATTATAAAAATAATTTTATAAAAAATTTCCTATTTTATAAAAATTAGAAAAAACTTTATATAACTAGAAACTTTTTTATTACTTTTTTATAAGCTATTTTTTTTATAAAAAGAAATACTATTTCTATTAATTATATATTTTTTATAATAAATATTTTAATTAAATACTTTTAAGAAATAATTATAAATTTCTTATTTCTTATTTTTTCTTTTTATATAAGTTTAAAAAAGAAAAATAATAAAAATAAAAAGTTTCTTATATAACTTAATATTATATATATTATATTAGAACTAATCTTTTTCTCTTTTATATTATAGTCTTAATTCTTAATTCAAGCTTTTATATAAAATATATTAAAGCTAATTAGTTAAAGAAATATATAATTTTAGCTTTTATAAATATAAAGAAATTTTAAAAATATTATAAAAATTAAATTATTTCTTTATTATTAAATATAATAAAAAGCTATTTTAAAAGTTATTAATATTTAATTTCTTTAATTAAATTATTTAAAATCTTTATTTAATTATATAATATTAATAAATAATAGACTTTAGTTTAATAAAGCCAGAATATATAAAAGAAATACTAGCTAAAATTATTATTTATAATTATTAATATTCTTTTAATTCCTTTAATAAATAAATAATAAGCTAGAAAAAATCTTTTTAAGAATATATTATATAATAAATTAAAATAGAAAATAAATAGAAATAATAAAAATTAGAAAGTATTTAAAGTATTAGAAAAGAATTAGAATCTTATAAATCTTTTTTAAAACTAGCCAATTCAAAAGAAATATATATTTTTTAAAATTCTTATATAATTAAAAAATCTTTTAAATATTATCTAAATTTTCTAAATTTTTAAACTATAACTTTTATTAAAAGGCTATTTTTCCTATTTTAATTCCTTTTCTTTTCTTTATTAATATTATTATTATTACTTATATAAGAATTTCTTATTTCTTTTTATTTCTTATAATTATATTAATTATATAATAGTAATATATTAAATAATTTAGTTTCTAATAATAATTCTTTTATATAACTTTCTATTTCTAGTTCTAATTTTATAAACCCAAACTAATAATAAACTTTTAATTCTTAATTCTATTTATTATATAATAGCTAATATTTTTAAAAATTTATTTCTTTTATTACTATTAATATAACTATAATTATTAATAATTATATAATATAAGAATAACTAGAAATAATTATATAATCTTATATTATATAAATAACTTAACTAATAGCTAGTAATTATTAGGCTTAGTAAATTTAGGAATTATATATTAATATTATAATATTATAATTTTTATTACGGAATAATAACTATTTTACTAATTTATATAAATAGTGTTTTATAATTATATAATAGTATTATATATTTCTAATAAATTAATACTAATTAGTTTATATATATAGATTAAATAGAAAAAAGAATTAAGCTATATGTTACGGGTACGGCATTCAGGGCTTGGAAAGCAAGGTAAAAGGTCCCTTACGAAGATGATTCAAAGCTAAGGAGGGAAAGCTAGAATACAGGAGGCTGTGGGCTTAAGTGCACCCACAGTAAGCTAGCCCCTAAGGGGCCTAGCGTCCTAAATATCTCCATGCGCATTCCCATACTAGCTGTCAGGTGACTGTATTAGGTAACCAGAACGTCGAAACCTGAACTGTAATACTATATTTATTTAAGATTCGATTTCTTAAAAATAAAATTATTATTTTATATTAAAGAAAAAATAACTATTAATTACTTTTATTTATAATTCGATTTTATAAATAAAGAAAAATACTTAATTTTACTAAAGTTTAACTAAACTATATTAAAAAAAGAAATAATAGTTATCTTTATTTATAATTTAGTTCTATAAAAAAAAGATATTATTTTTTATTAATTACTAAATAATTAGCTATTTAATTATCTAACTATCTTATAAAATTACTTTTTTTAATAAAGAATTACTTTTTCTATAACTACTTAAATATCTGAAGTTCTTAAGTTTTAGAACTATTAAATTCTTTCGAAATCTCAATATTCTATTTCTTAAATTTCATTTCCTAAATTTTTTATTATAAAAGAAATTTTTATTTTAAATATAATAACTTTTATTTATTTATTTTATAAACTACTTTTTTTTATAAATTTATTCTTTTTATAAATTATTATATCTTGAATTAGATACGAGCCTATAAAATATATAATAATAGAATCTATTATAATAAATATTTTCTTTATTAGATTTATTTAATTTAATTATTTTATATTTATAAAAAATAATAATTTTAAGAAAATAGTAATAAAATAAAGATATAGAATTAATCTAGATATTACTATAATATAAAAGATATTCGAGTTTTTAAATACTAAACTATTTTAATATATTTTTTATAAAATAATTAATAATAATTTTTAGGAATTATTTAGATATAATTTTAAGAATTTTATTTATTAAAGAAACTTTAATAAGTTTAAACTCCCGGAAATATTATATTTATATAAGATTCTTTAATATAGTAATATATATATATATAATAAAATATTAATATTTTTATTATTATAATTATTTTATTTTTTATTATTAAAAAAATATATAATATATCTAAATAAATAAAAACTTATTAATAAACTAAAACTTATAAAAAAACTGATTTTATTAGACTTTATTACTTTTATAAAAAATAAATATCTAGAATATATTATCTAGAATATATTATCTTTAATATTCTTATATTATTATTACTATTTTCTTTTTTATTATTATATTTTATATTTTTACTAGATTTATATACTAGTATAAAAACTTTAGAAATAAATAATATATTTCTATTAGCTTTATTATTACTATTATAACTATATTCGAATATTTTCTAATTACTTTTTTACTTGTAATTATAAAACTTATTAGAGAAATTATTAAAATTTATATTAAAAAATAAAAGTATAATAAATTTAATAATAAATTTAATTATAAACTTATTATTTTCTTTAATATTTACTAATATATAAAGCTTTTATAAGAGATATTAATATAAGCTTTTCTTATTATATTAAAGAAACTAGCTTAAAATTATTTTTATAATAACTAGCTCTTTTAATATATATTATAAAACCGGGGTTTTAAATTTAGAAAATAAATCAAATAGCTTTTAATTTAAGAATTCTAAATTTAAAAAAAAGCTTATAAATATAGAAGCTTAGTATTCTAAATACTATAGCTATATATATTATTATAATTATATAATACTAAATTTATTAATAAAATTATAAAATATAATATTATTTTTCTTTTTAGA